TGGAGATGGCTGCCTGGGGCTAACGCCCACCCTCCCCATTCCAATAAGGAAGCAGAGTCAACATCAGTGTAAGAAATGGTGTGGGGTAAGCCTCTCTGTGTGCGTTGGTTTCCTCCGGTGAGCTAGCTGATACAGATTTATTTCACAAGTCTATTGTGAAAAGCAAATGAACTGATAAAATATTTATCTGATACATGGAAAGTCTTTCTTTGAAAGATGAAAATAGAGCCCAGAGGACAAAAAGCTTGAATTCTCGAAAGTAGAGATGTCTAGGGCAGCAGTTAAGAGTGACTGTTGCTCTTTCAAGGGACCTCGGTTTCATTCCCAGCATGCCTGTCAGAGAGCTCACAACCCCTGTAACTCCAGAGTCAGAGGGTCTGATGCCCTCTTCTGGCCTCCACAGGCAACTGCACTCACATGCACATGCCAACAAGTAAATAATTTAAAGTCTTAATAACAATCCTTTTTTAAAAACATAGAAATCTCCTATGCCATGCTATCTCTCACCATTTCTCAAAAACTCTGTGCAGTGCTGGGGATCTAGTGCTTTCACTTCATGCACAAGGGTCCAGGGCACCACAAGAAACAAAGGAAGAGGGGGAGGAAAAGCAACAGCCTCCACTTCCACCTGCAAATAGACCATAAACTCCCGGGGCTCCCCTCTGTCTCCCAGAGTGCTGTGCTGTTGCTGTCTTAGCACTGTGTGCTTCTGTGATATTGACTTCCTGGTTTACAGGGCACTAGGCTGTGTTCTCAAGGACTGTTGGCTCTTTGACTCTTTCCTGAAGTGAGTGACCTGTGCTGATCAGCCTTCACGTGTTTAAAACATTTCACTGTGTGGTGGGCACAGCTTGTCCAGCCACACTCAACGTTCCTAGGCAGGTAGGCTGTGTCCCACAATTCTGCAATCGCAAACAATGCTGTTAGGGCCTCTCTCAGAACCGTGAGCGTCCTGCTGGGATCCTAGAAGTAGAGTATCCAGGACGAGCATGTGCCAGGGAATCAATTAGGGCTCCACAGACACTGTATGAATCCCTGTCAAGGCCAGGTCTCCGCATTTCTTTCCAATAGTACCTTCTGCCAGCATCAACCACACGGGGGACCAGGCTTCTATCATGTGAGCTTTGGGAGAACACATTTAAATCCTACACAAACCATTTATATCAATGTCTTGACAACCTAACAAGGGCCTCTGACCATTGTAGCACTCTCTCCTCTCTTGACTTCCATTCTATCCTCTGGTATTTCAGCTCTGTCTGTCTTTAACATCACAAATGAAGACACTATTTCACACACATGTGCAAATGGCCTTGTTACACCCAGTTTCCTATGCTCACCATGCCTTCCTGTGTCCCAGGGTGATCTTCTAGAATCATTTTCCTTGTGAAATACACTCTTTCTGAAATCCTGTTAGATTGCTCTCAGCTTTTATTTACTTTAAATGTTAGACAGAACTTATTTCCCTTTGTGTCTTAGTTCATGAAAGGGCTATTGGCTGCAGGCAATTCTAGCTAACCTTTCCTTGTTCCCCTCTCTTAGGGATGCAATTGAAGTCTCCTAGCCTGTGGTGGCTATGGAGAAGCTCATGTTGCATGCAGTCTGTCCTTTCTCACTACTCTACCTCAGCATCTTCAGATGTGCAAAGCACGGCTTCATTTTCACGTGTCCTGCTTGACATGCACCGTTCTCCCTGGTCCTGTGGGTCTGCTTTTCATCGTTCCCAGAAAACCTGAAATTGTTGTGTCTGTCACGCGCCTTTAGATTCTTCTTCTGGGACTCCTTGTGGGTTTTCTGATTCTGTTCTCTGTGCCTCTGTCATTCTTCCAGTATTTCATGTCATCTCCCAGCTCACTCCTCCATTCTCCTTGGATTTGTTTGTTGAATTTTAGATTTTAGAATTTTTGTTTCTAGAAGTTTTATTTTACCGCTGTTGCTACTTCCCCCCCTCTTCTTCTGTCTATCCCTTCCCTTCTTCCTCCTTTTTCTTTTTCCTCTCCTCTCCCCACTCTTATTTCTCTCACTGATGTGCACATCCTGCCATGGCAGCTTTTATTTCTTTAAGCATCCCTATGGCCTCTTGGTGTCCTGTTGCTCTTCCTTCCCTTTCTGTGGCCTGCCCCTCATGGTGGCTCACACCTGTGATTTAGGAAGATGAATTTGGAGCCTTTTTGCTTGATCTTACTCACAGAGCAAATTCTCCTGACCTAACCTCGGAACTTGTTTCTCCAGGTTGAGAGCGCTGCCCTCTTCCAGAGGGTTTCCCAACTCAGGACCATCCCAGCTCCCTGGGAGCTTAATCTCAAAGGCAACTTCCCATCCTCCATACCCCTAGGTTCCCCAAAGTTCACTACTACCACATGGAATTGCTTTAAGAAACCCTGTCCTTTGGGGCTGGAGAGATGGTTCATCAGTTAAGAACACTGGCTACTCTTTAGAAAACCCTGGTTCAATTCCCAGTACTCACATGGTAGCTCACAACTGTCTGTAACTCCAGTTCCAGGGGATCCAACACCCTCACACAGACATGCAAGCAGGCAAAACACCAACGTACATAAAATACAAATAAATAAATAAATAACAGAAAGAAAGAAAGAAATCCTGCCCCTCACTGACCCTCTCCTGAACCCCAACACCCAACACCCCAGGAATCATCTGATGAAACCAGGGTTTCAGCTCCCGCTTCTCACTTTCTTTTATGTTTCTTCACAGTTCATGTTACCAGCTGTCATATTTTATATCCGTTTGCTAAACTGCTTCTTGTAGGCTACCCCCGCACTAGAATGTGATGACTTGTTCATTTATATATCCTTAGCAACTAGTGCAATGCCCAAAATATAAGTGCTAAACCGTTATATGATGGATGAATGAGCAAATGAGACACAGCACCTGTCTCCAAATGCTCTCCGTCTGGCAGCTGAGCCAGACAGGGACAGTTAGTTACAAGACAGAGAAATGACTTCTGCTGTGGGGGAGGGGAGTGTGGAAGGAAAGCTCCATCCAGCCTGGAGGTAAGGGCCTTCTCTGCTGGGGCTGGAGGGGGCTAGGGATCGACCAAGCTGAGATGCTAAGGATGCGTAGCCATCACTCCACAAATGAAAGCCTTCAGGGAGAATGTTCCAGAAAAAGACCTTCCCAAAGATGAGAAGGATGCTATCTGGGGAAATGAAAGTTGTTTGGTGTGGCAAGATTGAGGAAGGGAAACTGGGCAGGAGAGAGGTCACAGGTCAGATCCCCTACCCTGGTAGTTTGGCAGTGAGGAGGGGAGTGTGGGATGGTTTCAGCTGTGGAGAGAACATGCTGAGGTTGCTAGGCAGGAGGTTCCCTCTGGCTTCTGGGGATGCAAAGAAGCCTGTACGAAGGCTCTGTCCAGAGGGGAGCTGGTTCTGAGCCAGGACTGATGATGCAGTGGGGCCCTTGGAATTCCTGCTGGTGGAAGTACACACTGAGTGGGCTGAGTGAGTGGGCTCATTTGATGGGCAGAGGGGCTGCTCAGCTGGTATTGGTGGGGGTGATCTGAAAGATGAAGAGCACACATCCTAGACTTCTGAGCCAATACTTTTTAATTAGGGTTGGATTTAGCAAAAATAAAAATAGATATATGGGACATGAGGCTGAATTTGAATTTCAGATAAACGAGTTAACTTTTTAGTGTAAGCATGTCTTCAAAAATCCAAATTCTTTTGCATTATCTGGAATTCTCTTTTCAACAGCCACCATTCACCCACACTCGCACACACCTGATGAAATAACAGTGCCCAATAGCCCTGGGTCTTCTTGACCCCACGCCCGCTGTCAGCCCTTCATCAAGAGCCTCCTCGGATCCTTTCTCTGAGCAGTCTCGCCAAACTCTATCCCTCCTGCCTTCCTGCCAGTCTGGAAGCCCAGAAACTGGTCCGCCACCGAGTCTATTATTGGGAACACTGAGGACAGCTAGAGCTGACCTGGTAGCCCAACCCAGCTCCCCACCCTCACTGAAGTATCTACATGAAGTGCTGCCCCAGAGCCTGGACCCCAGTGGGGCTCAGAGCCACAGGCTTAGCGCTCATTGTGACCACACCCTCCTTTGGGTGGCTCTGGGTTTACTGGTTCTGAGAGGCCAGGTCCTGAGCTCAAGCAGGGCCTGCTTCACTTGGGTCACCTCCCCGACCACACAGTCATCCAAAGATCCCTCAGCACCCTCATTAGCATGGAGACCCAACACATGGATCTCCATGCTGGACTAACCATGAGGATCTATCTGATGGAGGATCCTGCCTGGAGCCAGAGTGGGGAAAGAGGCCTTCCTTGGGGTGCAACTGGGGAGGTTTGTGGAAGCTGAGATAAATGGAGCAATGGAGGACTCAGAAACCGGGAGTGGAGACATGGCCAGCCTGGAGTTGTGTGGTGTAGGGAACATCACTGCCATATTAGGGGCCAGGAAGGCTGATCAAGATCCTCCTCCAAGAAAAGTGGGAGAGGAGACCACAAAATAGGAACCAAAGGATATGCCTAAGCAAACAGAATTTTCTGTCCCATCCGGTCCCACTGTGGGGTCAAACAGCACCAGGCATGGACCTGAATGAACATCTTGCCTCAGTTGAAGCTGTTAACAACAATAATAGGGGCTTTGAAGAGATGGTTTAATACCTAAGAGCATTGTGTACAAGCATGAGGACCTGAGTTCAAATTCCAGCACCGATGTGAAAGCTAAGTATGTCACACAAGCCTGTAACCTCAGAGCCGCTGTGTGTGTGTGTGTGTGTGTGTGTGTGTGTGTGTGTGTGTGTGGTGTGGGGGGAGGTGTTAGGGTGAAAGTAAAGGATTGCTGGTGTTGCTGGCCCTCAGCAGCCTGACTCCATGTTGAGTAAGAAACCCTGTCTCAAGGAAATAAGACAAAGAGTCATACAGCACAACAGCCAACACCCTTCTCTAGGCTGGGCAAGGACTCTGCACCTGCACACATGTGTGCACATACACCACAGACAACACACAAATAGTAAGAATAAAAATGATAACATAAATCTAATCATAGTAATAGCCATTTATTGAGGCCTCATGTAGTAAGAATCAAGTGGATTTTTTTTCTTTACTGAATCTTGCAAAGAGTTACTACTGTTGTCCCTGCTGTAGATGGGGAAACTAAGGCACTAAGAGATTGGACGACGTGTCCCAGCCACAGACAGACCTGGCATCTGAGCCCAGGCAGCCTGGCCCAGAGCTTCCACACTCACCAGCCATTAAAAAAGTACATGATTACCCAGAAAGGCAGAGGACCCCCTGGGAGGATGGCAGCCAGCTCTGATTCCCTTTTTGTGGTTCAAATACATGGTGTGTCTGGTGGCCTCCATGGCCCTGAGAGTACCCCAACCAGCTGCTCTGGTGCCAGGAATGCCTGGGCACAAGCCCCCAAATGTGACCTTGCTCAGCTGCACACAGAGACAATGGATTGTGAAAGCCAAAAGTGTTGGAGGTCCCAGACTCCCCTACTGGTTGATAGGTCCTCAGACAGGTAACAGCTACATTTCCAGGGGCAATTTTGAAGCCAATACCTTGGCACACACGCCAATGGCACCTCCTACTGTCCATCCTGGGGAAGGCACTGATGTCTCCCACCTGGTCTGGCAGGCATTGCATATTCTCCCCCATTGTGGGCAGAGTCAGTAGATTTTGAACACACTCCCTCATGTCCACCAGGAAAATCTGGTCCTACACAATGGTCTAGATCCCTCAAGCCCAGCTGGCTCTATTTCAGGGGAAAATGCAGAGGCCTGGCCTTGGCTGCTGGTCTATACCACCTGTTAAAGGGGTTAAGGAAAGGCAAGGGCTGGATTTCTTAATCTTTTGAAAGATAGAAAGTTTAAGTCAACATCAGTTGGGACTGGCAAAAGGCAAAGTGGCCCCAGGCATAGGTCACAACACTGTGAGTATCTGTAAGTGCTGAGCAGGGTGTTTAGACTCCTGGCTTGCAGGCCAGTGCTCTGTCCATTGCCTGGCCAATGGAGTTGCACCCAGGCATGAAGGACCAGGATGAGGAGTCACACGTTGCCCTCTGCCCTCAGTAATTCTGAGAGGTAAAAGGGATCCCTGCAACCAGCCCACCACCTGCCCTGGATGGGCCAAGGCCGTAGGCTTCCAACCACCTTCCCTAGATGGGCCAACGCAGTGGGTTGCCAACAGTAGGAGAGGCTGAGGCTGCAGGCTGGGAAGTGGGTTAGTGTGTCATCTGGGAAGAGCTGACTGCCTCCATCTCTGCCTTGGCTTCAGCGTCTGAGTGACATCTGTGCAAGCAGAACCACAGGAAGAGGAAGAAACCTGCAAGACAGGCTGGTTAGTGAGAATGTCACCAGAACCCAACAACCTCCTGTCACTAGGTGGGTAGAGGGACAGACCCAGAGGGCACCTTCACGCAGTTCAGAGGCAAGCCTCTCCTCAGGGCAGATATGTACCCAAATCAGCTTAAATGGAGCTGTAGGTTCAGTCATCATCCACCCCTTGACCAAGAGACCCCCGGTGACTAGCCTGCCTCCCAGTGCCTGCTGCCCTGCGTGCTCCTGCAGCCATACCATAGAGCGAGTTGAAGATGGTGAAGAGGAAGAGCTGAGGTAGCCGGAAGACACTGAAGGAGAAGAAGGCTAGGACCCAGGTGGTGCCCAGGAGCACAGTGAGACCCAGCACCATGACAGTGTCCCGGTAGGCCCAGGGGCTCAGCGCCTTCTCCCGAATCCGTAGCCTGCATAAGATCCACAGAGCCCAGGTCAGAACCACCAGGTTGAACAGAGACATGAGGCCACCATAGCCCATGACCAGGACACTGTGTACAACCGGACTGCACACCCAGCACCTGCAGGAGACGGGAGAAGGCCAGGATTAGCATGGCCCCAAGACCTGCAGGAGGCCAGGTGCACCTGAGCCTTGGGACCGACTCTTACCCCGGCCTGGTCTTGCTGTTCCAGTGATTACAACTTCCATGATAGTTCATATGCCCGAGCCCCTCACCCAGCTTCCCATCAGTCACCACAACAGGGTCATCAGCACCTCCATCCACTTCCTGAGGTGCCTCCTTTCAGCCATGGTGCCTCAAGCCTCCTCTCCTCTTTCTGCTGCCTCACCTCCTCCATGCCAACCTGATCAATGTCCTAGTAGATCACTGGCCTAGGCTCTCACTCTGGAGGCTTCCTTTTCCATTCTACCCACCATTGCCACTATCTTGTGCAATGGGACAAAACTCCCTAGACATTTCCCACCTAGAACTGAGCAGTATATGAAGCGTCACCCACAGATTGTTGGGGAGATGCTCAAGAATGAAAGAACTGGGAAGCAGATGAGCCGCGGGGAAATCCCACAGAGGACACTGAACCTGGGGCGCCTGCTGGGCCCTGACCCAGGCCTTCCAAGAGACCTTGGGCTTTTCCCATCTGGGACACCTTCAAGATAGGTGCTAATCTTTGCTTAGGTCAGAGCATGCCCCATAGTCAGCATGGGTTATCCCAGGCAATCCTCATGGCAGACCAGGGCCAGGCACCTAACCATCTCCATATCACAGTTAAGGAAACCAAGGCTTCTGCTCAGGAGCACACACTGGCTGGGGCAAGGGTGAAACTTGAAGCCCCTTGGTCTGGGCCCCGAGTCTTGGTTTCTGTCGCAATCATGTATCTAGATACCCACTCCTGGGACGCTGACACTGGAGTCACAGTGTCCTTGAACATTATTTGCAGGAGCCATGCACATTGGTAACCAGCATGATGGGTCCTTCTCTTTGCTGCTACAGAGTACTCTAGCATGACAGCTCTACCACTGCTTGATACACCAGCATCCCTGCTACAAGGCCAGATTGCATTTGAAGAGTGCTTTTTAAAATATCAGTTTAGGGATGCAGATAGATGAAAGGTGGGTAGATAGATAAGTAGAAGATAGATAGATAGATAATGATAGACCTTGTGGATTAGTATTAATCATCAACCAAGTGTAGATCTAGAAATTACCTTGTGTTAATTGAGGTGGGAATACCTCCCACTGTGAGGGGTGTGAATGGTGCCACTCCTTGACTGGGATCCTGAGCTACAGAACTGGAGAAAGGCAGCTAAGCAGAAGCACACATTCATCGCATCTTCTGATGTCACATGCAGACATGTGACCAATTGCTTCAGCTCCTGCCACCTCTACTTCCCCTCCATGATACGGACTGTACACCGAAACAGGCAGTCAAAATAAAACCTTCTCTACTAAGCTGCTTTTGTCGGAGTATTTTATCACAGCAACAAAAAAGTATCTAAGACAAATGATAGATCAAAAGATAGATGGATGCATGCATGGATAGATGATAGATAGATAGATAGATAGATAGATAGATAGATAGATGCATAGACAGACAGACAGATGGATAAATAGATGATAGATAAATGGATAGATAGATGGATAGATGCATAGACAGACAGACGGATAAGTAGATGATAGATAAATGGATAGATAGATAGATAGATGCATAGACAGACAGACGGATAAGTAGATGATAGATAAATGGATAGATAGATGGATAGATGCATAGACAGACAGACGGATAAGTAGATGATAGATAAATGGATAGATAGATAGATAGATAGATAGATAGATAGATAGATAGATAGTTGATACACAGATGGATAGATATATGATAGAGTTCTATGGGGTTTTAATGGAAGACAAAAGTCACCAACGTGGGATAACAATTTCCTGAAAGACAGAAAAGGGTGAGAGAAATACAGGGACGCTGGTTCATAGTTTGAAGGCTCCTATTTGTACACTGCTGTGTTCCTGTCTGGGAACCTGTCGATTAAGCATGTTTGTTCACACTGCACATGATATACTGGGATACATCTCTAAAGGGGCTCACCCCTCAGCAGTACCCATGCCATTTCCCACTCTTCCCCAAACTCCTGATGACAGCCAGGAATTGGAGCTGGGCAATGTCTGGAGGACTGTTCTGGAGCTGCTGGTAGGCTAAGTCACAGCCCTTAGTTGATAGCCTAAGATCTCATGGATGAGTTCTTGAGCTGTCTGTGCCTCATTTGCCCTATTGTGACACAGGGCTGACAGTGCGGTTAAACCCTCACTGTGAGCACTGAACATACTCATCCACCAAGCCTGCCCCCACAAGCTCTCAGCCATCCTGAGCTGCCAGGAAGAGCCATGGTGGCTGGACTATCAACTCTCTAAATGGCTTCTTGAGGGTCTAATTCATTATTTTATTTATTATTGTTTTATGCGCATGGTGCGTGCAAGTGTAGGGATGCATGCAATTGAACACACAGATGTGAGGGTCAAAGGACAGCTTTGGGGAGCTAGTTTTCTCCTTCCACCATAGATTCTGGGGCTAGAACTTAGGTTGTAAGTTTGTGCCTTTACCCACGAGCTATCTCACCCACCCTCCACAGGGGTCTCCTACACTACTACACTGTACCCAGCTGTTGGAAGTGTTATGTAATAATAAGATTGATGTCCTTGTGTGCATAAAGCCACAGTAGAGCTTGTCTTCACCTCTGCTGCCTCTCCCTGCCCCCAGGTCCCACACCAGCAGCACGGGAGGGAGCTGGGGTGCTGACAGTATCCTGTGCTCTGTGCAAGGAAGAAGGAGCTAAGCTGAGCCTGTCAGCTAAACAAGGTGGCCTGAAGGCACAGCAGTCAGGTCCCAGCTGAGCTGGGAAGCTCTGGGGCCTGCATTGTGGCCATGTGATATATAGCCAAGTGTTGCCAGGACCTCCTAACTCAGTGGCTCTCAATCTGTGGGTCAGAACCCCCACAGGGGTGACATATCAGATGTCTACATTACAGTTCACAACAGTAGCAAAATCACAGTTATGAAACAGTAACAAAAGTAATTTTATGGTTGGGGTCACCACAACATGAGGAACTGTATTAAAGAGTCACAGCATTAGGAAGGTTGAGAACCACTGAGCTGGTCCGGAGGTTCAGCAAGCATTGGTGTCAACTCTATGGCTTCCTAGTCAATGAGCACAGAGCAGGCATCCTCCGCTGCAGAGACCTCAGGAACACGGAAAGGGTAGGCAGAACCCACTGGAATTCCACCCCCCAACCATGGCTCCCTCTTAGCCCCTCAGCCATCACTTTGCCTTAGAGAGCCCAGGCCCGCCAGGAACTCACATGGACACATTCTGGAAGCCTGTGCCATTGTCCTGGCTATTGGAGAAAGAGATCACATAGGGCCCGTACACTGAGCTCTTGATCACCAGAAGAAGAAGCACCAAGAGGGCTGGAAACCCTGAGGGGTGACAAAGACAGGAGGCCCCAAGATGAGCAGGCTCTGGCCCTTGGGCCGGCTGACAGAGGAGGGCATGCCCACTGTGCTGAACTGCCGGCCCACACAAGATCCAGCTTCAGAGCCAGCCTAGCGGTCTTGGCTCATCTCCAAGATGTCAGTGAAATTCCAGGGCTGAGTGGCCACAGAGATGGTGGTCACCTGGAAGGTGGCAGGGAGCTAACAGGAGGTGGGATGGTTGGGAAACCTGAGAGGAAGTGGAGACAATAACAAGATGGACTAAGGTGGTAGAGGTGTCCACGGTGGTGCTGCTGTGGAAAAGATGACTGAGGGGGTGGTGGTGGGGTGCAGGGAGGGCAAGGAGGGTGATGAGGATGAAGGAGATGGGGTGGTGGAAATTAGAGTAAAGGCAGCTGTGGATGGTAGAGGTGGGGACATGGTGGTGGTGATAGTGGGGACAGGGGACTGGGGGCGATGGCAGTGCTGAGAGGGGAGGTGGTGAAGGCCACAACAGCAGTAATGATAGTGTTGAAAACAAAAGCAGATCAGGAGGTAATGATAAGCAGCAGCAATGGTGTTGGGTGGGGGTGATGGTACAACTGATGCCATTGATGGAGATGAGTTAGAGGCGGTAGAGAGAACTTAGTAATATTGAAAATGGTGGCAAGGGTTGACATGGATGGTAGCTCATGGCTATGCAATGGCCACTGTGACAGGCAGGACGACTTGGGGTTAGTACCCTGTACACTGGAAGTTCCAGTGGCAAGTGAGATAGATGTCCCTTACCCCAGCCCAGCATGCAGAGCTTGAGCAAGTATCGGTGGATGTAGACATTGTAGACATGCCCCAGGAGAAGGTAGAGGTTGTAGCCTTCAATGGCCATCCAGGTAAGGCAGCTGAGCAGTGCATAGTGTAGGGTGGCAGCCAGCGCTATGCAGACTGACTTGGGCACTGTGGGCAGGGCCATCTGGGGGCTCAGAAGGAAGGTGACATTCAGGAGCAGAACAGAGCCATGCAGGTTCATGTGGATGCGTGTGATGGAGTCACTTTGCTTCCTGTGGGTGGGACATCACACAGATAGTGCCATGGCCTGGCTCACAGATACACCATAATGGGGAAACTAAAGCTAATGGGGAGAGACCCAGTGGCTGCCACACTGTTAGGATGGCTTATGCTCTGTGACCCTTCCCACCTGCCTCGGGAAGCTGGAGCAAGAAGGAAGACACGAAGCAGCAGCAGGGCAGGCAGGCTGGGCAAGGCAGGGATTACCTGGAGTGGGCATACAGTAGCATGGTGAGCAGTGAGGCCACAATGGAGATGCTGCAACCCACCAGGGAGATGTACTCAAGAGGCTCCTGTAGCTCGGCCGGCACTGGATCTCCAGACAGCTGCTACAGGGCAAAAGAGGCTAAGGGCCGGAAGCATAGAAATGCCCAACTCTCTCTGGGTTCTACCAGAAGAGTTTTCCAGACCTCAGTTCCAAGTCCCTTCCCCACAGCCCAGCCCAGTCCTGCCCTGAATGAAGTCATAGAATGCACTGTGGTGGCTTTTGTCACCTACACCCCCTGAAAGCACACTCACCCCACTCCATGCACACAGACAGGGCATGCTTCTCCCATTGTATGGATTGGCACACCAAGCCTGAACTTGAGACTGGGTAAGGGAGGTTCTTGAATTCCATTAGTCTGAAAGCCAGCAAGGCTTGAGCCTGAAGACACTGGCAGCTGTGTTATTATCCCCTAGGGCATCCTAGCTGAGGGCCAAGCCAGGATGGAGTAAGCATAGTTGAAGGATAGAGGTAGAATCATGTCTTTGTGTGAGTTAGCCCCTGGATCAAGCCATGCCTGAAGCCTAACAGACTTTTAAAGGAAAGCAGGCCCCTAAGTTGGCTTGTGTGACTTAATTGCCACCCTTTATGCCGTCTTCAGCTTTGCTCCTGTACCACCTATCTGGGGCTCCTGCAGCTCCCACCCCTCTCTCACGGCGAATGCCCACATACCATGAGAACAGCAAAGTAGGTGAGGTGGTTGCAGTGGCAGAGCACCTGGGAGGGTGAGGGCTGCTCTGTATAACAGCCCTCAGGGCTCCAGGCCCCCCAACTGTGCTTGCTGGCTCCCTCCTTCCAGAAAACACAGGTTACTGTGTATCCTTCCTGAAATGAGATGTGGGGGTCAGTCTAGGGGTGCAGGACGAGACCCCATATTAGGGGCTGGGGGGCTGGGGCCCAAGAGAGATTCAACTAAACCACTGTCGACATTTTGTGGGTGCTGGCTGGGCTTTGACAATCCTAGATGCCAGCCCCACCTTCACCACAAGTTCTCAGTGTCCTGGACAAGTGGAAAAGCTTCTCTGAGCCTCACTTTATTCATCTGCAAAATGGACCATACATATCCAAGTCACAAGGTTAGCAGAAGCACAAAAGGCCATTCAGCATTTGGAGAGGGCAGGTTGGCAGTGTTGGCTCTTTGTGTGACAGATCTTCTATAAACCACTGTTTGCTACCTCCTCCCAGACACAGAATCATCACTGGAGACTCACTCGCAGTCAAATCCTATGATGGAGAGAAGGGGTGCGACCCAGACATGCTATGAAAAGCAACAGAGGAGGGACAGGGAGAAGGGAGGCCTTAGGGGGTGCATGGATTAAATGGAAGTGGAACGGGACACTCATTACAAAGAGAAGGGCAATGGTAACGCTCAGAAGGTGGAAGGAAAGGTGGCTGTGAAGTTAAGAACGCAAGCCTTCCTGCCCAGATTCAGGCAGATGGAGCCAGAAAAGAGCACTTGGACTTCATGGGGAGGCAGGCAGACTGGGGACCCGGGAGCAGCAGCATCAGGACTTGTGCCTCCCAGATACTCTTTCCTGTCCCAGCATCAGCACCAGCACTACCCCTAACCCCAGGTGACCCAGCGTAGCAAATGCACACATCTCAGCCTCCTAGACACAGCCTGGTTCAGCCACAGACACATGAGTCAGTCAAACCTCTTGGAGCCCTGGTTTGCGCTGGTGGGGAAGAACCTTCCAAGAAGAAGAGATGCAAACACGGTGTCCTCAGCATGCATCTTACATAGGAATGAAAGCCAAGGTAGGAAAACATTGCTGAGACTAGAGAAGACTGAACTCTAACATATTATGTCCATTCCTGGATCCAGCCATACCTGAAGGTAGAACTCCCCTGAACATTCCATTGATAGGAATGCAAAAATCCCCTTTAGAGCTTAAGCTGGCTCTCTAGTGCTAGCCACTGGGGGAAAAAAAAAATCATGACAAAGTTCTTTTCCGTTGCTTTACAGAAATTTTCAAAGAACAGATTTAAAGTTGTTTTCCAGATGGTGCCATGAATTTCAGTTTAGCCAAACCAGGGTTGATGGGAAAAGTTCCTAGGCATGGGGTGGAGGGAGGCCCAACAGTACCAGACTTTGATTGTGCCAGAAGCTGATGTTGATGGGCTTCTGAAGGTTGTTCACCGGCCTGTGATCCAGCTGGGCCCCCAGGACATAGTTATTGAGCAGGGATGAATTACTGTCATCCTGGAAGGGCAGTAGAAAGGGGAGCCAGAGAGATCCTGTGTGAGATCAGAATCCTTATCCCAGCCCCTCCTCCCTGTTGCCTTCTGTCTGTCTCCCATCTTGGAACAGACACTGAGGCACTAACGTCTTGGGTCTCATTTGCAGATTGTGACCCTACCTCCTTGTGAGGGCCAATATATATTATCAATTTGATGATATCTCAAGTCACCTTGAGTCAAGCCTCTGGGCAGGTCAGTGAGGGGATATCTAGATTAGGTTAGGCTCGGATAGACCTGAGCACTCCTGCCCACCATGATGGGCCAAAACAAATTCTTCCTTCCTTAAGTTATTTTGTCTCTCCCTAGAGCAGGCAGGGAAAGTGGGCCCCAGAGTGGCAGTGACTAGCTACAGCTGCACAGTAAGCTGGTCCTCATTCACAGGCCAACCTGAGATACAGAAGCCTCCTTGGCCACCCTCTGCTGACCTGGAAGAGGTGTGCGGTGAAGAAGTAGATGCAGATGAGTCGAAGCTCGGCAGGCCTGGAGGTCACACAGGAATCCTTGGTCAGCTCAGCGGGAAACTGCATAGCATGTGGGGCCCAGGCCTGTGGATGGTAGCAGCTGGGCTGAAGCCTTATGAGCAGAGACCACAGATCCAGTCCCAACACCTTTGGGCTCCCTCCCCATTAGACACTACCAGGCCTTGCCTGAGCCTCTACTCTCCGACACCTCCTCCCAGACTTCCCCATCCATCTTCATTCCCTGAGAAGAGAACCACCCCAGCACACACCTCGCACTAACCAAGCCTCCTGCCCTATTAACACCAGAGTCCTAAAAGGACACAGATGGCCCTGGCTGCCACCAACCCCAGGGACCTGCCATCCACCTGCCTCCAAGCAAAATCAGGATGAAGACCCTGACCACAAGCAGTCATGGAGTGCTTCCTCTTTCTGCTCTCCACACAGCAAAGCCAAAGAGGCAACTCCCCGCTATCAGGTAGAGCATGCACAGGGGACTGGGGTACCAAGCAGTGGGGGAAGATCTTGACCATAAGCCCCTACAGGACATCCTTGGCTGCCTCTGACCTGGGAGACATTTGCCATGGTGGCACTGGACAGGGAGAGGCCGGAGAAGTCACAGTCAAGCTTGAAGACCAGAGACTGGATAGAGTTTGTCTGCAGCGTCAAGTTGTGCCCAAAGAAGCTAGTGTTGAGCAGCATCTGCTCCAGTTGATGGATATTCCTGGGACTGGACAGCAGAAGAGGAGGAGCTGGAGACAGCCTAGGGTTGGGGCCTCCCACCCCCACCCAACCCTCCCATTATTACAGCTCTACTCACCAACCCCCAACCCACCCTGTGTAACCCATGTCCTCATCCCAAGTCTTAGAGCACCTGCCTAGGAAATGCATGAACCCATTTGGTTCATTACACTTCATTAAGGATCCTCGATAGACAATAAACTCTGGGAAGACTGTGGCACACATCTTCTGAAACTCTAGACCCTGGGACCAGGCACACAGTGGGTACTCAGTCACCACAAGCTAAGGATGTGTCTGGCCGAGGGTACAGCTGACTCACCTCACTTTGGAAGTCAAGGCCCGGCCCATGGGCCGCTCAAGGCGCTTCATCAAGTACAGTAGCGGTAGCAGTGTTTCTGTGGACAGTGGGACTAAGACCTTGAGCTGACTTCTCAGCACTCCTCCCCCATGGAGTCATCACCTACCTTGTGAGATACTTTGAGCAACCAGAATGCACAGACAGAAGAAAAGGGACCTCTGTGTATCCATGTCCTCAGCTGGTATCCTCTTGGCCTTGGAGAGGGGAGGGGATACCATGGTCAGCACCTCTACCTTCTAGATATTTGTGTAACCCCCCAGCTTTCTTCTTCTTCCTCTCCCTCTTCTTCTTCATTGTTGTTGTTGGGATAGGCTCTTCTGTAGCTCAGGCTGGCCTCAAACTTGCTATGTAGCTGAGGGAGACCTTGAACTTCTGTCCTCCTACTCCTTCCCCACAAAGTGCTGAGATTGCATGGTTCATCACAGCACCCAACAGTATTGAGGATCAAACCCAGAGCCCCATGAGTGCTAGACAAGTAGTCTACAAACCCAACTACTCCCATATTTCAGATAAGGAAACTCTGGCTGAGGTCAAAGAATTTGTCTTTGCTTGAAGGTGGCTGAAGTCAAGAAACCCTGACCTCAGGAAGTCTGACCACTGAATATAGCTGTCATTAGCTACTCAGCCTGAGAGTCTCCCTGGGGCTCCCCAGTCACACTAGGTTTTGGGGGTGTGGGTATTACTAACAGCAACAAGGCATAATCCTGACCCATCCTGTCACTAACTGTACAAATAAGGATCTTCCCACATCCTTTCCCAAGTTTTTCTCTGTGTTGACAGACCTTGCCAAGAGAGTCCAAGGCCCCAGCACCTCAGAAAAAGAGAGGGATACATGAATGAATGAACTTCTACTTAAATACAGTAAGATTATGTCTACCCACAAAACCCTTCCAAAATGAGACTGGACAGATATGATAAGCACAAAGCAGAAGGCATAGTGATGCATGCCTTTAATCCCAGCACTCAGAGGCAAGAGGCAGGCAGATGTCTGATTTGAGGCCAGCCTGGTTTGTGGTTTATAGAGAGACAACCATAGCTACGCAGAGAAACCCTTGTCTGGAAAAACAAGCAAACAAACAAACAAAGATAAGCATAACACCACAAGACAGAAAAATGGGGAGGAGATCTCATGGCCTTGGAAGCACTTGAGAATGAGAGGCATTGGGGCCTCTGAAGAGAAGGATGGAAGACGAGGCTAAACACAAGGATTTGGCCAGGAAAATTACCCAATAGGTAAACAAGAGGACCTGAGTTTGGACCCCTAGAATCCATGTAAATGCTAGGTGAGCAAAGTGACCATCTGTTATTCCAGCCTCAGAAGACAGACAGGGGATCCCCAGAGCAAGTTGGCTTGATTAACCATATTGGTTAGCTCTGGGTTTGATTGCGATTCACTGCCTGATTGAATAAGGATGGGAGGGAGAATAGATAGATAGATAGATAGATAGATAGATAGATAGATAGAAAGAAAGAAACATAAATTGGTGGGGGTTGTTTTGTTTTGAAACAGGGTCTCACTGTGTAGCCCTGGCTGTCCTGGAACTCAAGATGTAGATCAGGTTGGACTCAAATTCACAGAGAGTCCCCTGCCTCTGCCTCAGAAATGCTTGGATTAAAGGCACAGTTACCATGCCTGGTTTTACAACGTTTTTTAGTGATATGGCAACATTCATTTAGGCCAAGAATCTATTTGACATAAAAATCCTGATAGAAGAATAAAATAATATGGTAAAAATTCCATTTATATTGTGTCTGAATGAACCTGAAGAATTTTGCCTGGTTCTTTTGCCAAGCAAGTAGGATGAAGACATCCATGACTGTTGGCCACATGTGCTGTTTCCTGCTTTTGACATATTGTAGCATCAGACCCTAATGTTTCCCAAACTGTGTATATGTGTTGTGACTTCATTCAGAATGCAACCATGAGCCCCAAAGGATGAAAATTGGGAAAGGAAAACAGTTTAGCAAAAATAAGCAAAATAATCCTGCACATGTTGTATGCAGTGTACGCAGTCTGTTTCTGTAATTGACTGTTTAGAATGTGCCTAACCTGATCAGTGGGACTTACTTTTCATTAAATTACTTCAGGAATTAATTAAAGCTATTAAGGAAAGAATTTTTAAAAATAGGGCCAGTGAGACGGCTCAGATGGTAAGAGTGTGTGCTGCATGATAAACATCGTGACCAAAAGCATCTGGTTGGGAACATTTCAGCTTACAGTTCACATTCCACCATAAAGGGAAGTCAGGGCAGGAATTGGAGCAGAGGCCATGGAGGAACATGCTTACTGGCTTGTTGCTTGTGACCTGCTCAGCCTGCTTTGTAAACAGAACCCAGGACCACCTGTCCAGCAATGGCACCACCCATTGTGGGCTGGGCCCTCCCACCTCATCATTAATCAAGACAATACCCCATGGGGCAATTCCTTAAAGGATGTTTCCTCTCCCTAAAATGATTCTAGCTTATGTCAAGTTGACAACAAAACAAAATAAAACAAAACACAACTATGCAGCATTCTGCACAGGCCTGACTCCCTGAATTCCTTCTGCAGAACGCATGGTGGAAGGAGAGAAGCCACTCCCAAAGGCTGCCCCTGACTTCCACATACATGATGTGCAGGAGCATGACCCTCCCACACACACATACACACTAAATAAATAAATGTTTAAAAAAAATGAAGTCACACAAGTGTCCACACTCATACATGTGAGTGCACACTCATGTGCAACATTATAATTAATGTGCTGGCTAGCTTTATGTCAATTTGATACAAGCTAGAGTCATTTGGGAAGAAGGAAACCTCAACTGAGAAAATCGACCTACTAGATCGACCTGTGTGGCATTTTCTTTGCTGACTGATATGAGAGTGTCCAGCTCACTGTGGGAGGTGCCCACCCAGGGTTGGTGGTCCTAGGTACTATAAGAAAGCAGGTTAAGGGAGCTGGAGAGATGGCTCAGAGGTTAAGAGCACTGAATCCTCTTCCAGAGGACCTGAGTTCAATTCCCAGAAACCACATGGTGGCGCATAACCATCTATAATGAGATCTGGTGCCCTCTTCTGGTGTGCAGGCATATATGGAGGCAGAATGTTATATACATAATAAATAAATAAAATCTTTTAAAAGAAAAAAAGAAAGCAGGTTAAGGGCTGAAGATATGGCTCAGCAGTTAAGAGTACTGAGCATTCTTCCAGAGGATCTGGGTTCAATTCCTGGAACCCACATGGTGGCTAACAACCATCTGTAATTACAGCTCCAGAGAATCTAAACCTCTTCTGGCCTTCCTGGGCATCAGGCACATACAAGGAGAATAAACATTCATGCAAGAGAAATATCAATACACATAAATTTTTTAAAGTTTAAAAAGAAAAAAAGAAATCAGGCTGAATGAACCATGAAGAACAAGCCAGTAAGAAACATTCCTCCATGGCCTCTGCTTCAGTTCCTACTTCCTAGTTCCTGCCTTGAGCCCCTGCCCTGACTTCCCTTCATGACAGTCTGTAAACTGTAAGTTGAAATAAACCCTTTCCTCCTCAAGTTGCTTTTGGTCCTGATGTTTTATCACAGCAATAGAAACCCAAGGACAATAAATAAAATAAATTCTAAAGAATACAAAAATAAAAAGAGCTGGGGAATACAGCTCAGTAATAGAGCATTTGTCTAGCATATGTGAGGCCTTCAGTTCAATCCTTAGTACCACAAAAAGAAAAAGAGAGAAAGGGAAAGAAAGAAAGAAAGAAAGAAAGAAAGAAAGAAAGAAAGA